GGCAGAAGCTCTTCCTTGTGAGGGTGCTGAGGCACTGGCACAGGGTGCCCAGAGAAGCTGTGGCTGCCCCATCCCTGGCGGTGTTCACGGCCAGGTTGGACACAGGGGCTTGGAGCACCCTGCTCAAGTGGATGGTGTCCCTGCCCGTGGCAAGGGTTGGAGCTGGATGAGCTTTAAGGTCCCTTCCAACACAAACCATTCCATGATTCCATCATCCTCACCCCATATCTGCAACTTCTCCCTCTTTTTAGGCTATTTCAGTTTTCTACAGCTTTTCTACCATATAAAATATAAATTACTGGATAAGATGTGCAAACAGAGCTTTCCACATGATGAGCCCCTGGTCCTTGAGCTGTGCCCTAGGAGCAATAAAGTCCTTCCTAAATAATTAAGCAGGTAATAATTAACCATGTTCCCTCTGTGCAGTATTTACAGCCTGGTTTTAATGCAGAGGAAAAGTTCAAGCATCCTTTTTGGTAGGTTTTTTGTTGCAGCACAAGCCCTTGGGCAAAGTGGGGCTGAGCAGGGGTGTTGGAGCTGGATGGAAGCATCCCAATCCCTGCATGGGCACATTGGAAAGCTTCAAATGTTGCTCCAGAGCATGGTTTCCAGGCTTCCAAGGCAAATCCTTGCCAACCTTTCCCAGGAGGAGAAGGACCAGGATGCAGAAGATGGACCCTTTAGAGCCTTGAGCTGTGCTTTGTGTCTATGGGTGGATGGGAAAGGGTCCTTATCAATGTATGGCTGTTAGTTTTAAGCATTTTAATGGTTGTGGAGCCTTTGACAGGGATAAATTCTGTCTCTTCCCTTTTCCATCGAAAGGCAATCCCAGGCACAGGTTGGGTGGAGAAGTGATTCCGAGCAGCCCCGAGGAGAAGGACTTGGAGGTGTTCATTGGTGGAAGCTCCCCATGACCCGGCTTCAGCGCGCACTTGAGCCCAGAACCCCCCCGTGTGCTGGGCTGCACCCCTAGAGCATGCGCAGCAGCTCAGGGAGGGGATCCTGCCCCTCTGCTGCAGGACGGGGAGACCTGAGAGCAGCTCCAGTGCCGAAAGGGGCTGCAGGAAACCTGGAGAGGGGCTTGGGACAAGGGCCTGTAGGGACAGGCCAAGGGGAGTGGCTTTAACCTGCCAGAGGGGAGACTGAGATGAGCTCTTAGGCAGAAGCTCTTCCCTGTGAGGGTGCTGAGGCGCTGGCACAGGGTGCCCAGAGAAGCTGTGGCTGCCCCATCCCTGGCAGTGTTCAAGGCCAGGTTGCACACAGGGGCTTGGAGCACCCTGCTCTAGTAGAAGGTGTCCCTGCCCATGGCAGGGGGTTGGAACTGGATGATCTTAAGGTCCTTTCCCACTGAAACCATTCCATGATTCCATGATTCTCTACAAGCTGTAATTTCAAGCGAGACACACGCTGCAGGCAGCACCGTGGGACAGCTTGGCTGTGGATTCCTTTAGAGGAGCAAGAAAGAAAGGAATCAGGCTGCAGCCCCTGCTATTAATCATAGCTGTAATCATGCATTTAATGAACATGACAGCTCCTGCTCCCTCCGGAGGGACGCGTCGAGTCTCGCGCCTGGGGTTTAGGTACAGCAATCACTTCTCACCGCTCGCGCTTGAGAACACCCCGAGCCGCCAGAGCAGCCAGCGTCAGGTTGGGATGATGCATTGAGAGGAAGAAGCCCGTTTGCACGGGCTGTGTATTTCCTTACAGATGATGCGCTTCAAACCGACTTAAATCATTAAGAAAGGGGGAAAAAAGAGGAGGAAAAAACACCTGTCCCTTAGGCAGGGTATAAAATATCCAGCCTGACACCGCCGTGCTGGGTGTAATCACTTCAAAAGCCCTTAATGTGCACTTCTTGATGCTCTCCCCAGCAGCTCTTCGTTTTCCCTGCTTTTTTTTTTCCCTCCCCCTGTTGTTCCCACTGCCATGGAGTGTGCACAGGGGAGGAACTTGCCATGGCACTTCTTTACATCTCTGCAGTGAGGGACTTGTGTAATATAGACGAAGATACGGGTCGTGCGCAATGATCCGACAGCATCACTGCATCCCGACGTTCACACACCCCAATTGGAGAGTAACTGGGGAGGAAAATGGGACAGTTTTGTGTCTGGCATCTGTCCTGCAAAGTAAAATCATGTCTGGACCAATGGAGGCTCCTGGAGTCAACTGCTCTGGGCATCCTTTTGGCTTCTTGTTTAATATACTCCAACTTGCGGCAATTTCAGCTTCTAAGTTTTTAAGTCCACCCTTATCCAGTTCCCTGGTGTGTTGCTCAGCCCCAGTTTCACCCCAGTTTTGGATTGCTTTGATAATATAGACACTGAATTATCTGAATCACCACTGCCTGCAAAATATCGGATGCTTTGCATTTAGTAATGAAAAGCTCTTGGTGATGGCTCTAAGTGAGCATCCCAAGTTGGTACCCACTGTAAATACCCAAACTTGGGTTCTCCTTAAACATCTGAGCCATCAAACTGCGTCTCCTCCATCTTTCCCCGTGCTGCTGGGATGCTCACAGAGCCCTGCTTGTATTGAAACTGATTTTTACACGATACAAAAGCTTCTAAAAATACTTCCCCATAAATCCCAATCGACGGCACAAGGTTTAATTACGGAGTTTCTTATCCAGCAGCGTGAGGCAGGCGCTGGGTTGTCTCCTCCTGGGTAAATATTGAGGTGCTTTTCTAATGGTTCAGAGAGGATTTGCATGCAGGGTGAGCAATTAGGGGGTGGATGAAGGGTTTCTTTGCCAGCTGCCAGCCTGATGCTTTGCCAGGCATGGTCGGCAGCCCTGGACAGATGCATCCAACCCGGATTCTGCTGTGGATGGGACCGGCTCTCAGGTGGTTAAACTGCCTCCAGGCTGCGAGTTAATTCACAGCAAGAGGTGTAATAGGAGATGAGCATCACTTGTCCATGTGTAATAACATAACTTCTTGCCAGAAGATAAAATCTGGGCAAAAGCCACCCCAGACATCATGCTGTGGATATATTTTTGCTATCTATAAACGAAAAACCAGTGGCGTGATGCTGTTGCAACCTTTATTTCTTTACTTACCTATTTATTCCTTTAGTGATTTACCCTTTCTGGCCAAGATGTGCTTGTCAGGCTGCTTTAACTGAAAGGATGGCACACAAGCAGGGAGCGTGTCTGTCCCCAAGAGTCTGCTTTTATGTGAGGTATTAAATATTCAGGGACACTGTCTGCTGCCCTGGAGAGCAGCTCCTGGTATAGCCCATCCTGCTGAGCTTGCTTTAAGGAGCATTAAGCATAACAGCAGAGGGCAGAGGGATGCTCTGTTCCTACACTAATGGTTGGACTTTAATTTGGGTCTTTCTCCCTGCATGGAATGGTTTGGGTTGGAAGGGACCTTAAAGCTCATCCAGCTCCAACCCCTTGCCACGGGCAGGGGCACCTTCCACTAGAGCAGCTTGCTCCAAGCCCCTGTGTCCAACCTGACCTTGAACACTGCCAGGGATGGGGCAGCCACGGCTTCCTTGGTTCAGTTGGGTGGTCAACCTTGGTAGCCTCAGCGACATCCTCACTAAGAGATGCTCAGTGGCATCTTCAGAGCAACCCGACATTGATGTGTATTTATTTTAGCACCGAAAAGATGCTCCACAGAATGGTTTGGGTTGGAAAAGACCTTAGGATCATCCAGTTCCAACCCCCTGCCATGGGCAGGGATACCTCACACTAGACCATGTCACCCAAAGCTCTGTCCAAGCTGGCCTTGAACACTGCCAGGGATGGAGCATTCACAACTTTACCAAATCATTTACCACTTCTTTAGAGCAAAGAAGCTCTGAAACGAGGGGGAAGCTGAAAGAAAGAGATGCAAAATACCCCTCAGCAGTGCCTCCGACGCCCGGTTAACACTCAACACGCTCACATCAAGCTCGAGCGAGCTTGCCGCAAGCTTCAACGCGCTTACCAGTGAGTTACACAGAGTTTACTCCGTGCCTCTGATCGACAGGCGTGTGCCACCCGCTCCCGCATCGCCGGTGCTTTGAGTAGCAGAGGGAACAGATGGGGCTTTGCCGCCGGCGGCAGCCCGAGTGACAGCTCGCGCGTGGGGAGCGCGCGCTGCCGCTCGATGAAATTCCACTCCTTCACTTCCCAACACGCCCGGGCTGGCAGGTGAGTGACTGAGCCACCTGGAAAACCGGGAGCCAGCCTTTGTTTGCAGCTCGTTCTTTTCCGCCCCGCTCAAGGACGGTTTAATTACGTGAGCGCATGTAGCCGACACAGCAACTGGGTTTCCCCAGCCAAGCCAAGCCAAGCTGAGCGTGGAAGTGATAGCAAAAGCATGGGGGTTGTCCAGAGGGGGGGTGTTGGCACGTTTAGGTGCTATGGGGAAAGGTTCCTGTTGTGTTTGGAGCTGGGAAGGAGACTTTTTGCTGTGGTTGGTGTGTTGGTGCCAGCGGTGTGGTCCAGAAGGAGCATCTTCACCCGTCTGGGCTCTGAGAGCTTCTTGCTTAGGGTTAAGGTCATAAGATCATAGTACCATTTAATACTTTGGCTTGGAAGGGACTTTTGAAGGTCATCTAGTCCAACCCTTCTGTAATGAGCTGGGACATGTTCAACTAGATCAGGTTGCTCACAGCCTCATCCAACCTGACCTCGACTGTCCAAGGGATGGGGCACCTACGACCTGTCTAAGCAACCTGTTCCAGTGTCTCTTCACCCTCATCATAAAGACTTTCTTTCTTATAGCCAACCTTAATCTCCCTCCTTTTAGTTTAAAACCATGACCCCTTACCCTGTCATTCCAGGCCGTACTAAAAAGACTGTCCCCAACTTTCTTCTCAGCCCCTATGAAAGGCTGCAAGGGCTCCCTGAAGCCTTCTCTTCTCCATGCAGAACCACCCCAACTCTCAGCCGTTCCTCACAGCAGAGGTGTCCTATCCCTCTGATCACTTTATGGACCGAAGATACTGAGAACTGCATGAAATGCATTGATTCTGACCAAATGATCTCTGTTTTCCTCTGTTTCCAGCAGGGAGGTTGCAGTGTACACCCGGTGCTGGCTTCTCTCCATCCAGCTGCCTGAACAGATCAGCCACGAGCCGATACATCGCCAGGTCTGTACTTATGGGGAGGAGCAACATGCTCCCCCTCCTAATGCTGCCTGTGATTTATGCTTGGGAGGGTGTCAGAAGCTTGAGATGCTGCTATTTAAGTGGCTGTTTATTCACTGGAGCTCTGGTCGCTGCTTTTCCCCAGCCTCTGCTCTGAGGTGGTTGTAAGCTCAGCAGAAAGCCATGGTTTCTGCTTGGGAGGCTCTTTGAAAGGTTCTCAATGCATAGAAACACCTTCCTGTGAGCAAAGAATTCCAAATCCTACTTAGAAAGTCCCTTTTTAAACCAATCACATTGTTCTCAAGGGGGATTTGGGTTTTTTTTGAAGTCCATCCCAATTTAACCCAGCAAAAGTGGAGGTTTTCCTTCTCTTTTTCCCTTCCAGAAAGTGGGAATTTGCCACATGGAAAGCACCTTGTATAGAAGAATGATGTTATGCTGCTGGTGTTCAAAGCCCTGCTGCCTTTCTCATTCCATTCTTGTGCTGTGCTACACATAGTGCAACACATCCTCATGTCTTTGAGTATGAGCATTTGCAGACAAGTCCTTCTTAACTGCAGCAGACTAAATGTGGTGGTTCCAGATGTCCATATACAGACACAATGCCAGATTATAGCTGTATTTTGTCTAACCTGAAGATCCCCTGTTTCAGTCTGAACCCATCACCCCTTGTCCTATCACTCCAGTCCCTGATGAAGAGTCCCTCCCCAGCATCCTTGTAGCCTCCTTCAGACACTGGAAGCTGCTCTGAGATCTCCACACAGTTTCTCTTCTCCAGCCTGAACAGCCCCAATGTTCTCAGCCTGTCTCCATACAGGAGGTGCTCCAGGCCCTGCTCGTCCTCATGGCCTCCTCTAGACTTGCTCCAAGAGCTCCATGTCCTTCTTATGTTGAGGACACCAGAAGTGCACACAGTGCTGCAAGTGGGGTCTCAACGAGAGCAGAGTAGAGGGGCAGGAGCACCTCCTTCAGTATGGTATCATACCATATTGTGGTTTTCTTTGCCTTAGCCTTTTAACCACCTCAAGTACGAAGAAGCAATAAGTGATGGAGCTTTGTGTCACCCCCAGGCCATTTATGATGAAAGAGGTGGTGGCATTTCTAATGCTGAAACAGGGCTTTCACATTCAGTGTTTTGGCTGTGTAAAGTTTTCTTCTCATTGCATTTTAACTCAAGAACTGCAGACAACCAATAATAATAGAGGTAAAAATGTGCAGTCACCTGTAAATACATTGCTTAAGCAAGTGTCTCTCATGGGTAATGCTACTTTGAACCTTAGACCTGTGTTTCTCACACCAGGAGGACCAAGACTTTGGAAATACATACATATTATATACATATATCAACAATTTTCTGTATCAGTATTAATCCTTAATCCCTAGGGAATCAATGCATATAACTACCCAGAGAACCTGAGTGGCTTCATCTGTCCCCATCCAGAGCACTGTGTCCTCTGCAAACCTGAGCTGACTGTCATGTATCATCTGATTATGTACTCCAAGAGATCAAATCTGCTCTCTCTAGTGTTGCATTCACCCTGATCTCATCACTTCCCCTCTTCCTCCTGGTCTCATGCCTCTCTATAGCTGCTGGGTGATTACCTCTCCAGCTGGAAGCTCATGGAAAACGTGTGCTAAGCACATTTGATATCCTTCAGGAACTTCTAGTGGTACCAGGCAATTAACAGCAACTTCTTCTGGTACTTGGTATTAACCTTGTGTTCCACTGGCTGTCCTGTTGGCTGTTTGCCACTTAAAGGACTTGAATAGCAGCAGGTCAGCTGGCAGGGACACGTGCAGAAGTGCCCTCAAAGTTGCTTGATGTTTGCATCCTGTGCTGCACGAGACCAGCATGGGAGAAGATGGGTTTTGCCTCACAGGGTTCCCCAGAACCGCAGGAAGCTCTCTCCATATTCATAGAATCATAGGAGAGAATCATGGTTATGAGGGTGGGAAGGGATCTCTGGAGATGCTGTCCTTCCTCTTGCTCCAGAAGACCCAACCCCCTGCCACAGGCAGGGACACCTTCCACTAGAGCAGGGTGCTCCAAGCCCCTGTGTCCAACCTGGCCTTGAGCACTGCCAGGGATGGGGCAGCCACAGCTTCTCTGGGCACCCTGTGCCAGTGCCTCAGTACCCTCCCAGGGAAGAGCTTCTGCCTAAGAGCTCATCTCAGTCTCCCCTCTGGCAGGTTAAAGCCATTCCCCTTGGCCTGTCCCTACAGGCCCTTGTCCAAAGCTCCTCTCCAGCTTTCCTGCAGCCCCTTCAGGCAGTGGAGCTGCTCTCAGGTCTCCCCTTCAGGAGCCTTCTCTTGTCCAGGCTGCCCCAGCCCAGCTCTCTCAGCCTGGCTCCAGAGCAGAGCTGCTCCAGTCCTCGCAGCATCTCGGTGGCCTCCTCTGGCCTCACTCCCACAGCTCCACGTCCCTCTTGCGCTGCTGCCCCAGAGCTGGATCAGGACTGCAGGAGGGGTCTCCCCAGGACGCAGCAGAGGGGGAGAATCCCTTCCCTAACCTGCTGCTCACACTTCATGGCAAAGTTGGCTGAAAATAAGACCTAACAGCTTATGGCCCAGCAGGAGCTTCCTGAATATATCACTCTTTCTTCAAAGTGAACTTGGGCTCCTCTGTGTTGTTGAAGTGTCTTCTCTACGTCATTGTTGTGTTGAACACGTTACCTGACCCTGTCTCTCTTTCCTTTTCAGCCGTGCTGTTCAGCGGAGTTTGGCCATCATCCGTCAAGCCAAGCAGAAGAAAAAGAAGAAGGAATACTGTATGTACTACAACCGCTTCGGCAAGTGTAACCGGGGAGACAGCTGCCCCTACATCCATGATCCAGACAAGGTGGCCGTCTGCACCAGGTATGGATGGACGCAGCAACATCATGGTTTGATCCATCATTGTAGACTAAGCCATTGGTTGGCTTTGGTGTTTGCTCATAGAACCATCGAATCATGGAATCAACCAGGTTGGAAAAGCCCTTTAAGCTCATCCAGTCCAACCGTTCCCCAGCACTGCCAAGGCCACCACTAACCCATGGCACTGAGGCCTCGTCTCCATGGTGTGTGAACACTTGCAGGGCTGGTAACTGCAGCCCTGCCCTGGGCAGCCTGTTCCAATGCCTGAGCACCCTCTGGGGAAGGAATTGTTCCTCAGCTCCATCTAAACCTCCCTGGTGCAGGTTGAGGCCATTATCTGGGATATTCCTTGGGGAAACAACCAGACAACGGAGATGTAAGACCACGAGGATAGCTGGTCTAGGTCAAGCCTAGGGTCTACCCAACACTTGGGTTGGCAGGTACCTATAGGAGGAGGACAGGACAAGGCAGACAGAGAAGGGCTCTTTCTCTTCGCTGGCACTAGAGCTTCTGGCAGTGAAGCCCTGCAGCCTTGCTAAGGTTTGTCTTTCAATTGCTAGAGGTTGCTACCAAACCATCGAGTAATAGTTCATAGTTCTTCTTTTGGGTGAATTTACTTTGTCCTTTAACACGTGGTATTTATGGCAGTGGGTTGCACAACTGAATTACGGACTGCATGGAAAGTGTTTCCTCACTGCTCAACTACTGTGCTGGGTTCCTCCTCACTGGTAGTCATGGAGAAGGAGTGATTGCCTTCTAGGCATCAGTTACAGCTATGTCTTCCTCTCTTCCCTGTCCAAACTTCCCAAATTGGAGAATGATGGTCTGTTCAATCTTTTCTGGTAATTTTACCCTAAATTTAGCCATCATTTTACATGTATCAATGCCAATAAAGCAACACACCACCAGCCTCCAGGTTAAATAACACAGTTTGGTTGTTCTGCACAGCCTGTAGGGATTACAGAAATTATTTCACATTTTGGAGATGGATACCATTCATTCATTCATGCATTCATTCAATGGTTATGGTTGGAAAGGACCTTAAGATCATTCAGTTGCAACCCATGCCTTGGGCAGGGACACCTCACAGTAGACCATAACACCCAAGGCTCTGTCCAGTCTGGCCTTGAACACTGCCAGGGATGGAGCATTCACAATTTCCCTGGGCAGCCCATTCCAGTGCCTCACCACCCTCACAGTAAAGAACTTCTTCCTTATCTCCAACCTGAACTTCCCCTGTTTCAGTTTGAACCCATCACCCCTTGTCCTGTCACTCCAGTCCCTAATGAAGAGTCCCTCCCCAGCATCCTTGTAGCCCCCTTCACACACTGGAAGCTGCTCTGAGGTCTCCATGCAGCTTCTCTTCTCCAGGCTGAACAGCCCCAATGTTCTCAGCCTATCTTCATACAGGAGGTGCTCCAGCCCCTGATCATCCTTGTGGCCTCCTCTGCACTTGCTCCAAGAGCTCCATGTCCTATCACCAGCACCTTTAAGTAACCTCCCCTAGCATAGTCCAGAAGCTCTAAAATTATTCAAAACTCAGAGCAGTGTTTTAAGATTTAGCAATAAAATCCTAAAAATTCTTAATCAGAATAATTGTCCTTAGCGATGTACTCACTGCTCTGAGGTTGAGGATGCCATCAGGGGTTGCCAGGTGGAATGCAGAACCTAAACCATATAGCCAGTTCTCAAAGAGACTGGCTGACATGAATGATTTTATGAGTCCTGGGTAATACCTGATGCAGATACTGGAGCAGTGCAGATGTGATTGACTTAAGAGCCTGCACTGACCACACACTAGGTGATTTCTTCCAGCAGCACTTCTCAGATCCATGCAGCAGGTTTGAATCCTTCAGCCTGTGTCTCTTTGCAGCTACAAGGCTTGATAATATATTACAGGAGAGCTGATCCATGGTGCCAGCTCATTATTCCTGCCTAACACTTGATTAAACTGCATTCTATGTCATTTAAAAAGTGAGGAAAAGCCAATTCCACCGATGAGCATCTTGAGTCATTTCTCTGTGCAAGTGCTCCCATGCTGGAATCATTTGGAGTTTGCACAAAGCTCAATGGGAGATCACAGAGGAGGGAAAGGTGATTATTGGGGTTTTAACTGGTTTCTTATTCTCTTATAACACATCCTTATGAGCATGGAGATGGTTATGTCCTAGCTATCTGGTCAGGTTTACTTCTTGTGACAAAGAGGACAAGGGATGCAAGCTACTGAGTCCTCACTTTGAATCAGAGAATGGTTTGGGTTGGCAAGGACCCATCCAGTTCCAAACCCCTGCCATGAGCAGGGACACCTTCCACTAGAGCAGAGTGCTCCAAGCCCTGTCCAACCTGGCCTTGAACACTACCAGGGATAGGACAGCCACAACTTCCCTGTTCAACCTCTGCAAGTGTCCCACCACCCTCATAATAAAGAACTAATGTCTAATTTAAATCTCCCCTCTCTCAGAATCCCTTTTTCTTCTTATGTTGGTGACCAAAGCTGCTTTTGGGCTTTGCTCCTTGCATACTTTAGGAATTCCTGGACCTTGAGGTCTTTTGAGTCTCCATCCTGCCCCATTTCAGTGGATCACTAGAGGACAACACTGATTTTCTCCCAGTCCTTTGTCTCTTTACCCTGGTGCCTTCCAGCTCCAACCCTCTTCTTTAGTTTGAGATTATCATCTCTTATTTTCCTCAGTCTGCTTTTTATTTAAGGTGTCCTTTAACTTGCAGACCTGGGTGTTTTGAGGAGGTGCACGTAGCTATGCTGTGATCACAGTCTGCAAACCTTGTCATCAAGCTGGTTTTCCCACCTATATTTTCCCCATTTTATACTTTGTTCAACTCCATGCTCATCTCTAAATTTACCCAGATTTATAAATAAAGCATATTCTGTGCTTCACAACCTCCCATACCCTTGGAGTCTCCTTTTGGGGGGTTCAGACCAGCACTGTCCCCATGATAACATGTACTTCATTCTGCTGTCACATTGGTAGCTCGTAGAAAAACTTCTGAGTCCAAACATCCTCATGTCCTTTGGGATCTTGGTTGTGTCCCTGTCCCTTCACCTCCTGGTTGTTGGCCACACACACTTGGAGGTCCTCCGTGTGGTTTATCCAGCATCTGGTGTCATCAGGGCTCTAGGAAGGACCTTTCTTCTTAAGAGAGCATCAGCTCTGAACCTCGGGCCTTGTTCTACCTACAAATGAGCTGCCAAATACAATGAAAGAACAAAATCTATCAGGAAGCATCAACTGCTCTTCCAACAAGAAGGACCTTTAGCATTTTAGGGCATGAAATGGGCTTTAACAGCAACCTTGGCAGCAGTTGTGTTTATGGCCTTGGGTACACCTGCTAATGGAGCAAGGCAGATGCTTGGTGTTTAAAACCATGTTCTTTGTGATCCATCTCGTGCTCAACCCTCTCCTTCTGGTGTCTCTGCAGGTTTCTCCGTGGCACTTGCAAGAAGACGGATGGGACCTGTTCCTTTTCCCACAAGGTGTCCAAGGACAAGGTCTGTATGGGCTTCCCAAGGAGCGTGGTGTGGCTGTATAAGCGAGCGGACACTGGTGGTTGTAGGGAGGTCCACCTCATTGAGTTTGCTTGCCAGGCTGTTGAGGCTCATGATGGACTCTTCATCAGGGACTGTAGCAACAGGACAAGGGGTGATGGGTTCAAACTGAAACAGGGGAAGTTCAGGTTGGAGATAAGGAAGAAGTTCTTTACTGTGAGGGTGCTGAGGCACTGGAACAGGCTGCCTAAGGAAGTGGTAAATGCTCCATCGCTGGCAGTGTTCAAGGCCAGGTTGGACACAGGGGCTTGGAGCAAGCTGCTCTAGTGGAAGGGGTCTGTGCCCGTGGAAGGGGTTGGAACTGGATGGTCCTTTCCAACCCAAGTCATTCTATGAGTCTGTGATGGGGTTGTGAGAGAAAAGAGGGTCTCTTCAACTGGCGTGGTGGTTGAATACTTGAATGCATGCTGTGCATTGATACGTGAGTGTTATACATGGATGCATTAAGCAGCAGATTGGAAATGAGGGCACTCGTGTTGGGTAACGTGTGTTGGGTTAAGGAGTGTTTAAACTTCAAGCATCCAAGAGAAGGAGCGCAGGAACAGCGTTTAGTTGTGTCTAAACCTTAGCTACCTCTGTAAGATCACCCTTCCTTCTAAATAACCCTGTGCTAGCATCGCAGGAGGATGTTTTAACATCCAAGAACTTGGAGGTATAAATTAACCTCTCTAAGAAGCCAAGCAGTGAAACCAAGTGGCAAAACAGCTTCTGAGTTCATTGTGGGTTTCAACCCTCTTGATGTATTTGAGGGTCTGCAGTTTTATTACATGGAGCAAGGTGGAAAAATAATTAGGTTTGCTTTTAGTGATTGTCAGTTGGTGATTTAACAGCTGAAGCTCCATTCAGCAGCTGGATCTCCAGTCGGATGTAGCTTTAGAGACCTCAAGTGTTGAAGCTGGTGCTGAAGGTTAAGTGTAGCTGCGGGTCCTGAGCTGGGATGTGCTTCAGGCACCTGTTTACGTTCAGCTTTATGGGATGGATGTGGAGGATCATTTCTCTGCTACAAAGGATCACCCAGACAACAGCAGTGAGGTTAATCCCACCAGGGTATTGAAACCCCAACCAGTGTCACTGTGACCTGCTCTGCTGTCGGGATGAGATAGAATCCTCGAATCATAGAATAGCTAGGGTCAGAAAGGACCTCAAGATCACCCAGTTCCAACCTCCCTGCCATGGGCAGGGACACCTCACACTAGACCATGTCACCCAAGGCTCTGTCCAAGCTGGCCTTGAACACTGCCAGGGATGGAGCATTCACAGCTTCCCTGGGCAACCCATTCCAGCGCCTCAGCACCCTCACAGTAAAGAATTTCCTCCTTATCTCCAACCTGAACTTCCCCTGTTTCAGTCTGAACCCATCACCCCTTGTCCTATCACTCCAGTCCCTGATGAAGAGTCTCTCTCCAGCATCCTTGCAGCCCTGGAACACTGGAAGCTGCTCTGAGGTCTCCACTCAGCTTCTCTTCTCCAGGCTGAACAGCCCCAGTGTTCTCAGCCTGTCTCCATACAGGAGGTGCTGCAGCTCCTGATCATCCTTGTGGCCTCCTCTGCACTTGCTCCAACAGCTCCATGTCCTTTTTATGTCGAGGACACCCGAACTGCACCCAGTGCTGCAAGTGGGGTCTCAGGAGAGCAGAATAGAGGGGCAGGATCACCTCCTTCAACCTGCTGGTCACGCTCCTTTTGATGCAGCCCCAGATACGGTTGGTTTTTGGGCTGCAAGCACACACTGAAGCCAGCTCACATTAAGTTTCTCATCAACCAACACCCCCAAGTCCTTCTCCACAGGGCCAGAAAGCGAGATGCAAACAAGGACCAGTTTACCCAGAGAAGCCTGTAAGGCTCAGCCCTTCATTGTGTCACTCAAGGAGTCTGTAGCCTCCCGTGGCTGTATTTCTGGTGTCATTTGTCAGAGCTTTCATAGCTGGGCCTGGGGCATGGCAGGGACTGGAGCTTGCCTGGTTCTGGAAGTGCTGCTTTGAATTACTCATGCTTTGGTTTATTTAACCTGTGCCCTGTGAACTGTCATTATGACACCTTCTTCTCCCCACTCTCAGACATCACCATCCTCCATTCCCCATCCACAGCATCATGGAGGTAAGAGAATAATACAATGTTTTGTGTTGGAAGGGACCTTAAAGCTCATCCAGTTCCAACCCCCTGCCCTGGGCAGGGACACCTTCCACTAGAGCAGGGTGCTCCAAGCCCTGTCTAGCCTGGCCTTGAACACTGCCAGGGATGGAGCAATTCCATTGCAACTATAAGGATGGGGTAATTACAGTGCAATTAGTGACCTGTAAAGGAATTATCCCATGGGACATGAGGTCTCATCAGGGTCTGGGACAGCACCTTGTCCAGCAGCACTTGCCTTCAGGAGCACAGTTCTCTTGTCTTCTGTTCCCTCCGTTTGCCTGAGGCACGTTCCTTGTCAGCAGGGAGCTCATAAGTTATCCTGGCAGTGAGCAGAGCTGCTCTGAACCAGCCACAAAGCACCAGATGGTTTTTACATGTATTTCTCTTCAGAGTCACTTAATCACGAGTATATAAAATAGAGAAGGTAGGCTGGGGACAGCTGTACTCCCTGCCTCGTGGCGTGTCAGAGGAGGGATGGGGATGAGAATTGATAGAAGGGAAAAAGGCCAGTTTGCTTTTTTCCCTTCCTATAACAGATAGTTAGACTTCAGAAATGAAGCCAGGAAAGAAGAAAGCTTTGCAAGGCGGACTGGCTGTTGGGAGTGAATATGGGGCCAGTGACCTCTTGTTCAGCCTGGAGAAGGCTGCAGGGAGAGCTTAAAGCAGCTCCCAGTGCCTCAAGGGGCTACAGGAAACCTGGAGAGGGGCTTTGGAGAAGGGCCTGTAGGGACAGGCCAAGGGGAATGGCTTTAACCTGCCCGAGGGGAGACTGAGATGAGCTCTTAGGCAGAAGCTCTTCCCTGTGAGGGTGCTGAGGCACTGGCACAGGGTGCCCAGAGAAGCTGTGGCTGCCCCATCCGTGATTCAAGGCCAACCAGTCTGTGATCCTATGGCTCTTTTCACCTGAGTGAAGGAGGATGAGGCACCCCAGGGGTGGTTCAGAGATCTCTCCACTCACCACCTTGTCATCAGCACAGGCTGGAAGAGGAACAGCCTCTTCTGTGGAGTTCAAGCTTGTTTCAGGGTGATTTATGGCTGCAGGGATGCTGCTACCCAAAGCGAGCGGCTGCTTTGCTCTTCAACTCCTGGACTCCCTGTTAACCCGGGTGATCGCTAGCAAAGGTGGTGTTAGCCTCATTTATCAGCAGAGGAGGAAGGCAGGTGAAGTTGCTAAGTAGAGATAATACCCTGTTTTCCCTCCCCCTTCTGTGTTTTGGGAGTAGATCCCACCTCTTCCTGGGATGAGGGATTGGAAGGGTGGCTTGGTTTTGGCTGAGTTGGGGTTGTAATGTGATGAATGGTATTGTTATGGTGGTTAATGGTGATGTGGTGTCAGTTGTGGTTTGGGGGGTCCCCAGTTCTGCTGATGCCCCATTAGTTGACTCTCAGAGCGTTGTGGTTATGGGGGGGACACCCCACAAGCTCCTCATCACAGAAGCTTTAGGTTATTGTTGTGTATCCCACCTCAGTGGGAAGTCCCTGGGGATGCAGCCCTGTATCCAGTCCACAGGGTGAAGGACCAAGGTCTTGCAGGGCTTAGCTATTGGTTTGAGGACAAAACTCTTGCTCAACTTTGGGACCATCCTGTGCCTCAGTTTCCCTGATGAAAAATGGGGACAATCCCTCTGTTTTCTATGGGAAAGCTGCATGGGTTCAGCTTCCCTGTACTTGCTTTTCCCCATCTTTGCTCCAAGCAGAGGATGGTCTCTGGCATATGAGGGTGCTCCAGATGGGCACAAAGCTTTGCAGATGCTTTCAAAATCCACACTGCTCCCCTGGGAATGGAAAAAGGAGCCTGGAGGAGAGGGAAAGCTGGTGGTTGTGGAATTCTGCTCCGCAGAGGATGCAGGGCAGAGCCCTCAGGATCCATTAGTGATCATAGAATCACAGAATGCTTTGGGTTGGAAAGGACCTTAAGATCATCCAGTTCCAACCCCTGCCATGGGCAGGGACCCCTTCCACTAGAGCAGGGTGCTCCAAGCCCCTGTGTTCAACCTGGCCTTGAACCCTGCCAGGGATGGGGCAGCCCCAGCTTCTCTGGGCACCCTGTGCCAGCGCCTCAGCTCCCTCACAGGGAAGAGCTTCTGGCTTGTATCCAACCTGAACCTCCCCTGTTTCAGTCTGAACCCATCACCCCTTGTTCTGTCACTCCAGTCCCTGATGAAGAGTCCCTCTCCAGCATCCTTGCAGCCCCCTTCAGACACTGGAAGCTGCTTTGAGGTCTCCATGCAGCTTCTCTTCTCCAGGCTGAGCAGCCCCAATGTTCTCAGCCTGTCTCCATACAGGAGGTGCTCCAGCCCCTGAGCATCCTCGTGGCCTCCTCTGGACTCGCTCTGGATGGAGCATTCACCACTTCCTTGGCAAAGGGGATTTCTCTGTGACGGGGCTGATCCACCAGCACCTCCCAGTGATTGAGGGACACCAGTAAATGTGAATGAAAGGGTTTGTGAGTGAAGGTTAGCGAGAGGCTAAGACCGGGGCACCCGCCCGCTGCTGCTACAACAGCTTTTCCCCTTGAGGAACTCGCAAAGAATCAGCATTTTTCTCCCTAATAGAGCTTCAAAACTCTGTTGTGAGCAATTTGGAGCTTCACGTGGAGTTTCGGGTTCATTAGCTGCTGCCTCCAAAGCGTGTTCGGAGTCAAAAGCTGTCTAATACGGACGCCCCGCACCACTGCCTTGAATTAATGTTATTGTTATTTGTGTGGACGTAGTGGGGTGCAAACAAGGTTAATTGAAATGAGAGTGCTGCTTCCTCTTGATAATGGCTCGGGCTTGACAGCGAGGAGGAGTTGAGGTTTGTAGCAGAGCTGCCTTTATTACCCCTTTTTATTAGAGCTAATTTGGGCTCTAGATCAAAAACTACATTAAGGGAATCATTTATGGTCACACCACCAGCACCAAACCCAGATAGCCCCCGAGCCCTGTCCTTTATGTTAATGCCTGCAGTTAAAAGACAATTAAAAATAAACTCTTCTCTTTTAAAGCACCCTTTGTTTTCTTTCCTCTCGGCTTCCCTCTCGATCTCTCTTTGCTTGGAATGAGCCAAATGAGTTCAAACCCTAATGTGCCCTTCAGGGAAAAAGGGATTGTTTCCCGATAGCCTCCACTGGGCTCATTGCAGGATTGTAAATATTAGTTTGGGGTTGCTCAAACTGCTGGGATTGAGATGCTACCGGTGAGCAGAGGGAGGGATGCAGGACCGAGCAGGAAGGGAATCCAGCATGTAGGCAAGCAGCAAGGGATAAAACAGGAGGAGCCGGACCACCGCGATGGCTTCGGGAAGCGCATGATCCTGTCGGCAGCTGCCTTGTTGGGTTGGGAAGTTGTCTGTGGTAGCCGGTGAGTTAAAGATGCTGGGATGTCACAGCAGGCTGGTAATCTGTTTTTAATTGTAACAGCTGCCGGAAGGTGAAGTTTGTGCTTGGAGGACGAGGAGGATCCTTCCTCGGTTGCTTTTGCTATCCACATTGGCTGTTGTGATGCTAAAGCTTCAGGAGAAGGGCTTTGCTCTGTCAGTTTAACCACTCTCTTCCTTGACTGCTTGCAGCAGGATGCCAGGGTCTCTTCTTCCTTTCCTTCCCTCCTGGAGCATTCTTCCTGCAGCATCCCTTATGCAGCACACAGGGACAGGCATCGTCACATCGCTTGAAGCCCTTGGTGTGATGCAGCCTCCCCTTAAATGCTTGTAGAGGTGGAAACACTTCCCCCTTCCTAAGACCCACCTTTGGGAGCCTTTCTCTAACCACATGCTCTGGATCCTGCAGCAGCTCCATATCCATGGAATCGCCAAATAGAGGAGGCACCCCCAGGATGCTGGTTTGGCCTTTGCATTGGCCAGAACAAGCTTAATAAGCAAAGTGCAAGATCCTGCACCTGGGTTGGGGCAGTCCCAGGCACAGCAATAGGTTGATGTCCCCAACATAAGAAGGACATGGAGCTGTTGGAGCAAGTCCAGAGGAGGCCACGAGGATGCTCAGGGGCTGGAGCACCTCCTGTATGGAGACAGGATGAGAACATTGGGGCTGTTGAGCCTGGAGAAGAGAAGCTGCATGGAGACCTCAGAGCAGCTTCCAGTGTCTGAAGGGGGCTACAAGGATGCTGGGGAGGGACTCTTCATCAGGGACTGCAGTGATAGGACAAGGGGTGATGGGTTCAAAGTGAAACAGGGGAAGTTCAGGTTGGAGATAAGGCAGAAGCTCTTCCCTGTGAGGATGCTGAGGCGCTGGCACAGGGTGCCCAGAGAAGCTGTGGCTGCCCCATCCCTGGCAGTGTTCAAGGCCAGGTTGGACACGGGGGCTTGGAGCACCCTGCTCTAGTGGAAGGGGTCCCTGCCTGTGGCAGGGGTTGGAAGTGGATGATCTTATGGTCTTTTCCAACCCAAACCATTCCATGATTCTATGATTAACCTGCTGTGAGTGCAGCCAAGCTGCTGTGAGGCCTGCACTGCTGTTCCTATCACAGCCACTGCCTCATCTCATGGGAAGGCTGTTCTCCATCCTCAGCCATGCAACAGTGAGCTTGGCTTAATGCCTTTTGCCAGCAAGGAGCCCTGGCAGCAGTCACTCCTGCTCTTCAAGGTTAGTTGGGAGGGTATCAGCAGCAGATGAATCTGCTCCATGCATCCTTGTGATAACAGGGTTTATTACCATTCCCCCATCGTTTCCTTGTGCTGTGCAGAGGAAGTTTTCTTTGTGGTGCCAGTTTCATGTCTTCTACCCTGTCTCCAACATCCTGAAGGATGCTAAGGCAAGCGTGTTCACCCCCTGTGTATATATACACTGGGACCATGTAATGTCGGGGGGCTGTGTTGTATCGAGACCAATAAAAAAAGGTAAAAATTCCTCTGGGATCAATGAATGGCAAAAAGCACATATTTGTTTTACACATGGCACTGTCATATTTCAGTTCTGGGTGTTGGAATGGTTCCTAATCATGAACTGGGGGGAGCTCTGATGGGGTTTCTCATCCTCTGCCCTTGCAGATGCCGGTGTGCTCCTACTTCTTGAAGGGGATCTGCAGCAACAGCAACTGCCCCTACAGCCATGTCTACGTGTCCAGGAAGGCAGAAGTGTGCCAGGATTTCCTCAAAGGCTATTGTCCCATGGGAGAAAAGGTAAGGAGGGAACCAGCTCTTGGGCTTCTGGGATGGATGCTCCTTTGCTGAAGCCACAAGCTGTTTTCCATACGAGCTACAGCACCAAAGGGAGCCATAGAGCTGGAAGCTGCTGAATACCTGGATGTGACGAACAGCAGTCCTGTGCCTTCCCAAAGGGTTCTGGGCAGGGGGAAAAAGAAGGAAACGAATGAGAGGCTGCAGCTTGCAAACATTGTGCTGGTGTTTCCTTAGGAAACGCCTCCCTGGGGTTGTCCATGTTACCGGTGCCTGAGCCGATAGCCCCTGTCCTGGGAACTGCTCAGTTAAATAGATGAGAAGGGAAGGAAAAGGCTTCTGAATCTCTGTTTTGCATCCTAAACCCACAGATATTAATGCTGATTCTGCGCTCTGGCTCTGTGATAGATTAAAACTTGAGCCTTAGATCTTGTGGCTCAGTCTTAGCAGCAAGATCACCCCTCCTCACCAAGCCTCCAGCAACTGAACCTCAGTCTCTGCCTAGTTATCTACCTGGGGGCTTTATGGTCCTCCAGGTCCCAAGGGTCCTCTGGTTTACATCAATTCTTTGAAGTCCTACATAGACTTAATGTGCACCCTGAGTAGACTTGCAGTCTTGTCTGTCAGCTTATGGTACTCTGCATGGCACACAGAGCTTGAAAGAGAGCAGCTTTCCTGGAGCAGGGTATGGTTTTGCTTAGACCTGCTGCTCATGGAGGTTTCTAACTCCCCTGTGATTTCAGCTGCTTTTTACCATGGAGGTTTGATGGGATGAGCGTTTGGATGCATGGATCCATGTGCTGCTCTGGGCTGGAGCCTGAAGGGCTCTTCTCCTTTTCTTCATCCCTGTAGCTCTTGTTTACAGAGGTTCAACCCAGCAAATGAAGCTCAGCACCCATCTCTGTGGTGTCGTCATGCAGTCACCAGGCTGTCCTAGAAACCAAATGCAATGGTGGATGGTGCCTTTTGAAAACAAAACCATCCTTCCAAGGGCCACGGTGATGCTGCGAGGGCTGGAGCAGCTCTGCTCTGGAGCCAGGATGAGAGAGTTGGGCTGGGGCAGCCTGGGGAAGAGAAGGGGAGACCTTAGAGCAGCTCCAGTGCCTAAAGGGACTGCAGGAAACCTGGAGAGGGGCTTTGGACAAGGGCCTGTAGGGCCAGGCCAAGGGGAATGGCTTTAACCTGCCAGAGGGGAGACTGAGATGAGCTCTTAGGCAGAAGCTCTTCCCTGTGAGGGTGCTGAGGCGGTGGCACAGGGTGCCCAGAGAAGCTGGGGCTGCCCCATCCCTGGCAGTGTTCAAGGCCAGGTTGGACACAGGGGCTTGGAGCAAGCTGCTCTAGTGGAAGGGGTCCCTGCCTGTGGCAGTGGTTGCAACTGGATGAGCTTTAAGGTCCCTCCCAACTCAATTCCGTGAATCTTTCCCAAGGAGAACCCACTAAAGTACAAAAACCAGGTGAAAGGAAGGGATAAAAACCAAAAGTGAGAGCTTTAAGCAAAGCAGCAGTGTTGGGAAGCACTAATACATTAGCCTGTGCCTAATTACTTTCTGTGACAGCGTGTGGAGGAGACTGTGTGCAGGAGAAAACACTTCCTGCAAAGGAAAACACAGGCAGCACCACCTCCCTCCAGCACAGCCCCAACCACGCAGGCAGGATCCCTCCAATTATTTCCTCAACTATTCCAATTTAAATGAAAATATCAAAGAGATATTTAGAATATTTATTCTATTAGGGAAAGTGCTTACAGTGTCACTTTTGGAGTGTCAGGGAAGCATTCTCCTCCACATGATGGATAGCAGCCTGTAATTATAGATGGGGAGAAATTGCTGAGCGGGCCATATTTAGCTGGGGGAGAAGAAATCCCAGTGTGGGCCATTAAGGGTTAATTTTATTCTCTAAATAACATAAGGAAAGTGCTGAGTCGGTGCCTTTTGCCTCCAAGTAGAAAGTCCTCAAATGGACCCTGGAGAGTTGATCAGATTCTACTGAATCAAGTGAAAATGTGAACCTGGCTTCATAAAACGATGGCTTGTTAAAGATGCGCCCTCCCTTTCCTTATGAATAATTGAGGGTGGGAGTAAATCTCCTCTTGTTCTGCTTTTTCCCATCCAAGGAATGGGGAGAGCTGTCTGCATGGGGTTTGAACCACAAACTCATGGATAGCAAAGGTGTGTGATACTGGAGTAGCATCCTTGGTGGATAAACTCAGGGCAGTAATAAGGAGTTCAGGTGTTGTGTTGGGCTTTGGCACACTGGGCTCTTCTCCCAGTTGTGTTTTCCTCTTTGTGCTCCCCCAAAGCAACACCATTTCTGGTTTCTATCAGACCTTCATCAAAAATGTCCATTATTATCCATAATTTATGATGTGTCATTGCAGTGTCACCTCTTAAGTACCTTCTAGAATGTCTTGCAGGGTGCTGAGGCCAAGTTGAGCTGGCCTTTGACCCATCCCATGGGCTCTAACTCCCAGCTGTGTGAGCTCTTTGTGCAGATGATGCTGGGACCGACCCGCTCGGGCTTCATAAGGAGCTTGGAATCAAGTGAGAATGTTTTAACTTTGCATTCCCAAGTCCCTTTTTCAGGAATGGAGGCTGTAGAGGATAAAGGTTCCAACCCCCTGCCATAGGCAGGGACGCCTTCCACTAGAGCAGGGTGCTCCAAGCCCCATCCAACCTGGCCTTGAACACTGCCAGGGATGGGGCAGCCACAGCTTCTCTGGGCACCCTGTGCCAGTGCCTTAGCCCCCTCATAGGGAAGAGCTTCTTCCTTATCTCCATCCTGAACTTCCCCTGTTTCAGTTTGTGTTACCCCTAATACTGATCATTTCCAGGAGGGAGCTGGTAGCAGAGCTATGACCTGGATCTCCAGCGTTCTCACCATTTCCTCTCTTGTTTGTTAGGGAGTTTTTCCACCCGGTTTCTCTGCCTTGTGTGTCCTTGTGGACCCACAGCTTCCTAAAGGGAACGGGGGGACCTGCAAGTTCAGCTTGGTGAAGCAGTTGGTGAAATACCTTAGAATCATAGAATGGTTTGTGTTGGAAAGGACCTTAAGGTCAAAGCTCCAAAAGACACGGCTCCAAATAGCTCTGTGGCCCCAGTCATCTCTAAACACAGCACCATGTGTGTCTTAGCTAGAGCCATCAAGTGATGCCCACCACAGAAGTCAACTTGCTCCCTTCCCTCTGGCTCCCTGACCCCATGGTCGTGCTGGGTAAGGCTGGTCCCTGTGGGCTGGTCACCTGCACTGGAGGAAGCTTGAAGAGAGAAGTGGGAAGAGAGGGGGAAATGGGGCTTCTCACAGGTGCTCCTGAGGGGTTTCCAAAGATGTTTTAATGCGCTGAGCTACGGTCAAAGCTCCTCTTTGGTTTCTCATTCTTCCTCCCATATGGGTCCTTGTTTCTGCATCTCAACTTGGGGCATGGGTTCTGGGTGGTTATTTCCCTGCCAAGCCATTCTCCTTGCTGCACCCCCTCTTGGCTCCTGAAATAATACCCAAAGAATATGAATTAATATGAAACAGTAGGAATTCATATGAAATAATATTAAATAATATGAATTAATATGAAATAATGTGAAATAATACTTGGCCCAAAGGAGCTCACTGAGTGATAATGCACATTGAACATCGGGCTGCTGTTGGAATACTTGGATGCCAGCCATGGGCTGAAATCTGTGTGGCTAAGAGCCTGGACCTGGGAATTCCAGCAACCACCTGCATTATTTAACAGACATGTAGATGTGCCACTTGGGGACACGGTTTAGTGGTCATTAGGCCACCATGGTTTAGTGGTGGCCTTGGCATTGCTGGGTTAGTGGTTGGACTTGGTGATCTCTTCAAGGTCTTTTCCAACCTAAATGATCCTGTGATTCTATATCCAGAGATGACCCCAAGGAGCAGATGCCTTGGGATTTGCTTTGCAGGCACAAACCATGACTTACTGGGCATTAAACTGTATTTATAAGACCCATACCTAGGGTAGGGTTTGGTGCTGGTGTCCTCCAGCCCTTACAAGGTGTCAGAGCAAAGGCGAACGCATCATCCTGGTCCCTTCTAACTGCTGCATCTGTGAAATGGGTTTGTATTAACTAAGCTTGTCCCCCATGGTGTGCATTAGCGAGCGTGCCACGTTCAATACCTATCTTCAGATTGTTTCCATCAGCTGCCTTGAAGCCTGTGGGTAAATTGTTCCCCCATGGGAGCTGTTAAGCAGTGGGATGCAGGGAGTTTAAACAACGAGGCTCCTGTGCACAAGGAGATGCGCTGGAATAAATCATGGCTAAGAAGGGGCTCCAGTGTTTGCCAGCATCACCTCCCTCCCAGGGACCTCACCCAGCACAACCTGCCTCATCCCTGATGGTGAAGCTTGATGCCATCACACCACAGATGCTTGTGGTGGACCTGCCCATCAGCCTCCTGAAATCCATCATTCCTGATGAGTTTCTTGGCCATCGTCCTTTCACCAGAGCTCTGATTTGCGCCTTATCCATGTGAAGTATTGGCAAAGCTCGTGTTAGCAAGGGCAGGTGTGGTTAGAGCCTGCTGCCCGAGGAAGTGTGGCTTCCTTGGGGAAAATCCTTTTCTCCCCTCAGGTAGGATGTGGTGTTTGCACAGTGGCAGCTGCTTGGGGTTTCTGCAGGAAGCTCCAATGTGGGGACTTCTTCTTAGCTGCTGCCTTGTTCTCGTTTGTGTTTCTCTGGGCTGGTGATGCGTCAGGTTGGTTGTTTTCTCCTTTTCTGGTGGAAGTGTAGCAGGTTCCCCCCAGAAACTCACTTCATGGGTCCGATGCGTTCAATTTAAAGCAGCTTCTTCAGGCAAAGCCACATGAGCTGGGTTAGCAGCTCACAGTTAAATGTCTTTTGGGCTTATCCAGTGCACGATGGAGAGTAACAGCTGAGGGTCCTTGTTCCCCTTCATCTGTTGTCACAGGGAGGTGAAGATCAATGTGAATCATCATTTAGTGAATCCCAGACCGGTTGGGTTGAAGGGACCTTAAAGCTCATCCG